TCCGCTGTAACAATATCCTTGTAAGCATGCTGTTATACTGTAAGTAAGCCATTGATCTTCACTGCTCCTAGGAATATGCATCCTGTCATTAGAGACACAAGTGCGTAACTGCATTTGGCAGTACTTGAACTTTGAAAGTTGAAACACAGTTTTAGGGCACGCTGGTGTGTGCATACGCAAGCACAATGATATCACTCCCCAGGCAGCAAGCGTTTCTGCTGCTGGCAGGCCGCGCTTGGTCTGAGCTCCTCTTCCATCTGCTTCATCCTTGGAGCTGACTGCTGTGGCCACTCACAGGGTGATTTTGGCAGCAGCAGGGTACAAATGCCTAGCTTGGGAATGAGTTTTTGAAGCAGTGGCATCTGGGTGTCAGCTTGTCTTCCCAGCTGGTCTCTTCAGCAGCCTTCTCTGGCTAGACTTCGGGCTCTGCTGGCAATGCAGAAGTTGGGGTCAGTCTTTGTGGTTTGCTCTTCCCAGAAGAGCACTTGTCTATGATTAGTGCCTCCAAAGGAGGTAAAATGTAACTTCATATATAACTTTAAAAGTAAAATCACTCTGGAAAGCCTCATGAAATTCATGTAAAAACCTCTATAAAATGACATTTAATAATGTGATAGGGAGAGATTTCCATTCTCATTGAAAATTTCTGCTCTGCTTTACTAGTGTGTGCTGGATTTTTTCTTCATTGCAAAATAGAGGTTCATAAAGTCTGGAATAATTTTCAGAAGATACACCAGAACAAGCCTAAAATTACTCATGTACATGGCATACTCTTTAATATATTGGTGAACCAGTCACCATCTTTTTTATAGCAGATCAAAAAGTGTTTCAGTCACTGTACCTCCGGCTCTTAACCGCTCTCAGCAATGAAGTGAAAGAGGAACTGAAAATTTCTGTTTATTCCTCCAAACAGGAGAGAAATGAACACTTTGTTCTAATCCAGGAATTTTTGTTATATGAAGGGGAATCCCTGCGGGCAGAGTCCTTCCCTCCTCTGTTCCCCCTGTGAATATATAAATAGGGGTAATAAAAAACATTCCAGAGCTTGGAAAATCCAAAGTAGCCAAGTACGTTGCCTTGGTTTTTTCTTCTCTCTTGCTTTGCTACCAGTTCTAAATGCTACCTGAAGACTAATTTTTAAATTTTTTTCAGGTATCTCACAAATTCCCTTTCAGTGGTCATGTTTGTATTCAGAGGGAATTTGATAGTTAGCTGAAAATTAAAAAATGTGTGCAGTTGCGGTAACAAGTGTATACAGGCTTTGTCCATTGCGCCCTTTTTCTTTTCACAGCACTGCTATTCTGGATGTTACAGCAAACTCGTGTTTCAAATACAGTTTAGAACATGTGCAGAGATTTTGCTGTATTCAGATGAATATAATAGAAAATAAAGGAGATTATTATAGCCCTGGATTTACTGTGAGATCAGGCCAGAATTTCTGTGTCTTAAGTCACTTTTTTCTACAAGAAAATACATACATAGTAATGAATTCATATAGAAACTTTGAGAAGAGCAGCCTATTTGAGGCACTAAAGTATTTTTTATTTTTCTACCTCAGAAAGTAATTAGGAAAAAAGAGGACAAAAATATACTTCACGGTAATTTTATAATATATCTTCCTGTAGATATTGAAGGAATCAACTCTTCAGCTATGCTCACTCAACACTACTCAGGCATCAAATCAGACCTGATTATGTAATTCTGTTTTCTAGCATAGAGCTAGTTCCCATTTGGAATTAAGCAAAGGTGTCCATTCTACACTACTATGGATGTTCGGGAGCGGGGTTTTGCTCTGCACACTGTGAAGGATCAAAAGGACATTATTTTCTAAGTTACCAGGATATTTTTGGTTGTTCTTGGTTATTTTTTGCACTTCAAAGAAGTGACTCTTGACTTAGAGGACTAGCAAAACAGTACTCTCATGTGAACATCCTGCCTTCTGTTTTTGAATAAACACACTGTCAACATACTGAATTTTTATCACTGTGCAAAACCAGATACTTTCCAGTCATGCTTTATAAGTTTTTAAGGGTTTTTATAAGTTTTTAAAGGTTCTGACCTTAATAGGGTGGACTTCTATATTTCATGTTAATTTATGGATTAACTAGCAGACTGAACAAATAAAATATTAAAAAAAGATAATTGGTTGTCTTAATATTACAAATCCAGCCTTGGTTGTGGAGGTTTTGTTGCTGTTTTTTTTCCTAGCTTGCATATTTTCTGTTCTAAAAAAAAAAGAAGTGTTGATTGCCTGAATAAAATTCAACTTACTTTTCCATAGGATATTGACACTTCAGCTATTAGGGGCTAAAATGTGGTAATGTATGCATGTCGTTTTTACTGGAGCAAATATTCACAGTATGATTACATGAAAAAATGAATTTTGCTAATTAAATAGTACCATATACTCATTTTTTGGATGAGGCTTTCGGTAGAAGAGAACTGGAGTGAGAAAATACCAGTGGGTAAGTGCATACAAAAGGACATGCAGAATATTCTTTCCATGGCAAAAAGTAACTTGCTGTGTTCTCTGCAACATTTTCTTCTGCCTTGGTATATATCTCCAGATGTATGACAGAAGGACTTAAGTCGTGGGAAACTCCTCTTGTGCAGACCCTTGCTTGCTGTCACTCAGTTTGTATCATTCTTTCAAAAGAAAATGATGAAACAATAGTGACACAAAATTCATTACAGGTCTAACTAAACTGTGAGAATTAGGTTGGTAAACTCGAGATTGTTTTGTTTTGCTCTATAGCATAAAGTAATTTGAGTTGGATGCATGGTCATGTAGTCTAAGATCCTCAAAAGCAGTTCTCTCAAGCTTTCAGTCCTTTACACATGCAGAACTGTGGCAGCTTCTCTAACAGCATAAAAAGTAGAAAGAGAAAGAAAGCAGCGTACCCAGGTTCATCTTCTATTTGCCCTAGAGCTCTCTGCTAGCAAACCAAGCAAACTTTTTGGGAATGAGGCTGCAGTTTTACTGAACTGAAAAAGAACTGTGCCAAACTGAGAAAATGCAAGGCATTTCTGATTTGTGGTGGTTCCAAGGCAACAGACAATGAGTTGTCAGTTAAAAGCGAGGGTGTGAAATCAAATTCAGTGGGGAGCAAAGAGGATCATGATGGCATATAAGAAATGGCATTTTTCCTTATGCATGTAAATTCTACTTCTAAGCAAGTGGGGTTTATGGTGTGTGATTTGAGGTGGGTTATTTCGTGGGTTTGGAGTTTTGTTTTGATTTGTTTTTGTGGAGAGTAGCTTAACACAGAAGAGGAAAAGTGCCTTGTTTAATAATAAGGATTCGCTTGGTTGCTTTATTTAAAAGTTGTTTGGAAAATATCTGCAGAGTAGAGAGACAAATGCAACTGAACTGAAGAGACTTAGTTGCTGGGACTCTTATTAACTCTTTAACTACTTTTCTTAGAGAGGAAATCTGGAAAGTAGCTGCTTTGGAAACTTTTAAAAGGAAAAGAATTAACTGGGTAAATTAGCAAATATAGGGAGTGTGGACTGCTTGTTCAGGAAGGCTGAAAAGAAAAGAAGGAAAAGATGGCAATGCCAGATGGAAAAGATTCTCAGTGATAGCATCTCACAGGTTTTGCACTATTTTCTCATTAAGATCCCTTTTTATGTTTAATCATTTAAATAAGGATGTATCCTCTTTTTTGTATATTTTCTTCCTATTTTGATTCTTTCAAAATGAATTTTTGTTTATATATTTTTTGCTCAGATTTACTTACAATAGAAGATTTTTCAAAGTGCCTAGGTTCTCAATTTATGTCAAATTCCAGATTATGGAACAGGAAACATTTTGTTTCTGAAGATTAGGACCTTAAGATATCAGAATTTTACTCGGAGCCAGGGATGCCACGATAATATGTGTAAGCTTTCACAGCTGAGTGACATTTTTATAAGTATGCAGCTGCATTAACTTTCACATGTAGCCCTTTCCTGGTCTCTGTACACCATTTTCTGTGGTGAATTAGAGAAATCCAGAAGATAAATTGCAAATTCATGGATCACCATGAGTAAAGCCTTCAGCTAGCAGAATATCTTTTTAATAATAATAATTTAAAAAAGCTGTATTTGGCAACTGGTGCTAACTAGAGATTTGAGTTTAGTAAAAAGTAGATCAATACCCCTGAATCTGTGTATAGGTTTGAAGAAGAGTGCATGTAAACACTGGGACCAGGTGGAGAGTATCTATTTTTTTAAATAGATTCTCTCAGCCAGTTTCCACTGCTAAAGTTTTACCATTTGTGGATAATGCTGCATGTCGAAGGTCTGATCTTTTATTGCTGTCTGTATCTTGGTTTGAAAAATACAATACATAGTTGAGCATTACTAGTGTGGTGTTCTTACTAGAGCCTTTGTTGTCAATCACTCTTCTCTTTATCTCTCATGTAAGTTGGAGAATAAGGAGTCTAAAATCAATAGCTCCAGAGAAAGTCTCCTGGATATTTGGTGGAGAGACATGATAAGATCAAAATAATATTATCATTTCTTCTCCCTCTGTTCTAAACAGTTGCATTAGTATTACATTTTGCTGTGCCAGAAATTACCAAGGAGATTGCTCAAATGAATAAAAAGAACAAGAACTTAATTCTATTCTGTCTTTTTCTCCTTGCTGAAAGGACTGACAAAGAAGCAATCATTGTCTTTCATTGACAGATAGCTGTACTCTTTCTAATGCTTGAGTTTATATTTGAACTGTGATCTCTTACATCTTTACAGCACTGCATTGCAGTAGTGTATGTAATGCATAGGCAATGCAAGTGTGCCACAGTCCCTTGGCTAGAAGGGCCCAGAAGCCAAGCAGGAAAAAAGGTGGGAGTGAGCACTGGTGTTTGTCTGAATTGCCTTGACTTTTGAACACGTCAAACATACCCAGCTTTTAGTTTTTACTTATGCCTTCTTTTGTTTTATTTGTTTGCTGGTTTTTACAGTTTTTTCAAAAGGATGCTCAAATAAACAGAGAGGCTCATTCTTATTATTTGCAGGTTTCCAACCTGTACCTGTATGACAGTGTGCTCATGCTGGCCAATGCTTTCCACAGAAAACTGGAGGACAGGAAATGGCACAGCATGGCAAGTCTGAACTGCATGAGGAAATCCACCAAACCTTGGAATGGAGGACGATCCATGCTAGAGACTATTAAGAAGGTGAGAATAGACAAACTACAATTATGTGAGCAATTGTAAGAGTTGCTTAATTTCCGCTTGAGATTAGCTTTTGAAGAGATCTTTGACCTCAATTCAACTTTTCTTTGATTTATTACAATCAAGTGATTTAGAACTACCAGGAATGATCTACAGCTATTAAGCAAATGATTTATTACAAAGAAATTACACACACCACAGTGTTGCTCCAGTGGTGTGTGTTCTACTTCTGTTGTTCTTATAGTTACCTTTTGTAGAAGTAGTGTGATTAGGAATAGTAATACAAATTGATGTGTGCATGCATCATAATAATTTCCCCAAGAGAAAAACTCAAGGAGCTTGAAGGACCAGCCAACAGGAAAGGTTTAAGACTTATGTTCCATTTACTACGGCTCAACTAGCTTCCTCAGTTAGCTGAGCATTGGTAAGTATCTATTTGTATACTGTAGCCCAGAGCAAAAGGGATCTGATTTAGCTAAGTTGTCACTAAGTTAGACTTGGAGCATGTCGAATTACTCAAATATGGACAGTACTGTGACTTTGCAGATACATGATAATTTCTTGTATGAAAGTTGTTTGATCACAAATAGTAGTGGAAATTTTTAACTACACTAACTTTAGCAATTATTCAGGAAAAAAAACCCTGTTTCCCCATATATAGTGATGAAATGTTTTTCTTTTAGTAAAATGATGCAATTTGACCATGTGTTATGTTATGCTCTGACCAGTTCTAATGACACCAACCTTTGTGCTGAATCAATTCGAACTTTAGTGTCATTTCAAACTTCTTTGCTATAGACCCAAAATCAAACACCGTGGTACTTTCACAGAAAGGTTTTAATAATACTTACAATTTTGTCTTCTCTTCATGCCTCTCTTGGGAGCACAGCAGCCGTACTTTCTTTTGGACTTGGAATTCATGCTTTTGTATTCCACCCCAGAACTGAACCTGCTGCCCTCAGTTACACTGAAAGGGCTGCCGTATCACAGTCCACCAAGGTCCTTCTCCTTTCCTTTGGGGTCTGTTTCTGTGAACGATGAAGACCTGATGGCTTTTTTCCACAATATACAGTGGAAGTGTTAGCACTAAAAAAAAGTCCTTTGTCTGGCGCTATGTTTGAGCTGTTGAACAACATAAAATTGCCACATTTAAGTCCACTTTAATGAAGAGGAGTGTTTATAAAGCTAACTATGTCCTATTCAAAATTTCTGAAACTTATTTCCTTAGGGCCATATAACTGGACTTACTGGTGTTATGGAGTTCAGAGAAGATGGTGCCAACCCCTATGTTCAATTTGAAATACTGGGCACTAGCTACAGCGAAACATTTGGCAAAGATGTGCGGAGGGTAAATATATGCTGCTTCTTTCTTTCTTTTGTTTTCATCTAAATAATAATACATTCTACTTCACAGAAGAAAATATTTATTCTTTAAGAATGAAATAGTGATACACTGCAGAAGAAATTTGTATTTTCTAGTATCTTACACAGTTAAATCTTGAAAGCTAATTTCATATTGGTAGGCAGGAGTCCTGCAAGTTGTTACCACATGTGTAGTAATGATACAGTGCCATAATGATACTGTGAACATAATAGTGAAAACTGCACAATTCTGCTCACGTATTTTATTGTTAATTAAGGTATAATTGATATAACTGACACTTGTCTTATTAAGGAACTTAACTGAGAATATAAATTACCTAAACACACAAAGATGTTTCAAAGTATAGCTGCTGCAAGAATTTGAGATAAATAAACAAATAAAAAAAACTCGAGAGAAGATAATTTCCAAAATGGATGATGCTATATCGTGTAAAGTAAAGGATGACCTATGAGTGGTAGCTGGTGGAACAAGGACAAATGGGGATTAGAAGGCAGTTAGAGTGGGTCCCTAGGGTACTAACATAAATTGTCATGGGCTGAGAAGGCCACCTTGAACATATTCATGCAGAGGGGATGCTCCAAAATTACCTGGAACTCTCAATTGAAGAGTGAGGTTCCGATTGGAACCCAAGCTACAAAATGTCGCGATACTGGTCAACTGGTTGAAATGAACCACTGTGTGGCCAATGGGTCCTACATTAAGCAGAGCTAAACAAAGAGGATTTCCTGAAGTACTAAAATTTATGACATTTTCTATTTTCATTTGACTATTGGTTTCTGTGTTCCGTATTGATTCACCTGGATTACATGAGTCTAAATGGTAAAACAAGCAAAGAACTTGTGTTTACATTATTATCTTAAACAACTACACCTGAGATTCTTTCAGAGACTAGTTTGGCACAAGGGTTCTGGACATGGAGCCAAAGGCTTGCAACATCTATGAGAAATTAACTGAAGGAAGAGAAGTATTTGAAATGCATAAAGCTCCAGGAGATATAATTGAAAAACTTCTGTTGCCAAAAAACGTCTCTGAAGACTTCAGATTGGCTAGGCACCTTCCTGTATTGTAATGACCAGAAAAGGCTATTTCTCAGTCCACTTTCATTTCTAGGTGATTTCTAGTGCAAATGAAGAAGTGTAAGTTCCAAACACTACCTGAATGATGAAAAATTGATTTTGGAAAGAATGTTGCCTATTAATAAAACATAGTTGGCTTAGGAGGTCTAGGAAGTAATTCCAGTTCATAAACAGAAGTATGCACCTCGATTTACGCACAAGTATGCACAGCAGAAGTATCCAGTGCCATGTGAGATGCTGTGGACTATCCTACTGCTTCCAGCTGCCACCACAGAAAAGCGAGTGTGCCCTGTCAGTGCTGTGTTATCCCTAGCAGATGGATGCCATGGGGCATTTGAGTTTGATTCCATTTTGTTACAGAATTCCCGAGTGACTTTGAGTAAGTTACATAATCGCTTTATGTTTTGATTTACCTTTCAGTAAAATTGACATAATTACCACTCAGAATAGGTTTGAGGCCTTAAAGGGAAATTATGATGTGTGAGTTTACATTATTACTTTTTTTCTAATGTACATTTCAACTATTGTAACACATACACACAAGCTCTCACTTCAGTATGTGCAGCATACTGAACAAATTGAGATATAAACCAGATGTGTAAATTGGAGATAGCTAAAATATCACTCAAAAAGAAAAACAAGGCAAAGAAATAGGTAAAATGGCTAAACTGATACACCACTGATCACTTTTGATCCCTAATGTGCAACTTTGCGATTAGCTGGTTAATATAGAAAGGCTTAACTCTTTGGATGTTAAATGCAGAACATTATACAGTTCCCAAAATGAAAGCGAGTATAATTCTAAGTGGGTAATATTCTACTGGCTGTGGAATACTACTCGGAGCTAAATCAAAGTTCTGGAGGTGATCCTTTTAGCCTAGTATATATAGAGAGTAAAAAGTCAGCAATATGCTAGAGAACTCTATAGAAGAACTTGGAAAAGATTATTTCTTAGAGCAACATTACCATGGAACTACTGGTATTCAATTATTTAGACACCCCAACTTTTTATTATTGCAGCAAAAATATGTTACAGCTCAGAAGTACTTTTAAAAGCTCAGAAAGTCATGCTTGTCTTGTTTATATTACTTGAGTAAGAGATCAATTCTGATTTATTGTCAGTTGTTTCCATATCAGCCTTTCCTCAGATTTAACTGTAGAGGAACACATTTTTGGTGAAAAACAGAGGGTTCTTTTGCTGGTTTTCTTTTTCTCTATATGGAGAGCATCTGTATTATTTATCCCTGCCCTGACCTTACAAAAAAACGTTGCACTTGGCAGGGCAAGAGTATAAAATTAAGTGTTGAGCCTTAGAGGGAATCCAGTCAAAAGCTAGCAGACTTTTAATACTCAACATCCGTTAGAAAGTTTCTCAGGGAATCACTTCCACCAGAAAGACTCCTAGGGGAATGTCCAAGTTTGTAACCCAAGTTTGGCAGGAATTTTCAGGGCCTTTCTCTGGAGGCATCTTGACTCTTCCCAGTTGCCCTGAGATCTGGTCGTTCTGTAAATAATTGTTCCTTCCATTAGCTGTGATTGAGTTATGAGTGCAAGTAAATATTTGTATTTACTCACTTAGTATACCTTCTCCTTTATTCTACAAGTCTAACACCATATTTTTGTGGTAAAAGCTAATACTGACTTTTGTGCATTTTGTGTGTGCGTTTTCTTTTTTCTTTGTTTGGGTGTACGTTAGCGAAAGGGAAACTTCAGAAAATGCTCCAATTTATTTGGTTTAAACATAAAAGAACAGGGTATGTCCCTTAACATATATCACCTATACCATGTTGCTTTACAAAAGGCTCAGTTGATTGCCTTCTATTTACTCTGTGCATGCAGAGGTTGAGAAAGCATAGTGTATTCATGCTTAAAAATGAGATCAGTGTGGTGATTTCTCAGGGCATTTGAAAGTTGAAGGATAAGATTGTCAGGGAAACTGAAAAGGTTTAAATGCCTAGTGCTTGACATTGCTAGTATGATTTATGTTCCTAATGTCTGTAAAAACTTTTAAAAATAGCAACCCGAGTATTTGTACATTTTAAAAAAAAAGGGAGGAAAGGAGAAAAAAAAAAAGAAAAAGAACTGGTTATAGAGAGATGAGGGAATGGTAAAAAGTATAAAACATAAAACAGAATCAACCAAAAAGAAGAAAATAAGAGACTTTAATAGCTGGTGCCACACTAGTGTTTTAAATTGAATGAAAGAAAGAATGAAAGAAATACAGAGGAAGTATAACTTGGAAAAATAAGAAAGGTGGTATAAAGTGTTCAGGTGAAGCATATGGAGCAGGGGGAATGAGACACATAGCCTATTATATACAAAACCCTTTGAGACTTTTGAGATTTGCATTTGTAGCGGATAAACCCCCCTTTCTTCTCATTTTACCTCTATGTCTACCTCCCATGCTAAAGGTATATGCACCAAATTTAGCACCAACCTTAATTGCTGTAACTTCTGGGTTACTCGCAGTTGAATGGTCTTCCTCTGAATTTAGAGTTACCAACATTTTTTTTTTTCTCTTTTAAATTATTATTTATTAGTCCTTTATGAATTTATTTTAACCTATATGCATGCATAAAGTCTTGTATGTTTGCATTTTTATGTCTTCTACCTTAAGCTTCCTGAGCCTTTGGTTCATTCCCAGCACTGGCAGTGCCTGGGGGTGATCATTACGTCACTTTGCTTCATTGGCTCTCTGTCCCCATCTGTACCATGGAGTTGAGGGTACTTGCCTGCTTTGTATAAAGTTTTGAAGTCTGATAGAAAAAAAGGGCTCTAGCAAAACCATTTAGCTGTTAACATTAAAAAATTGAATGAATCATAGTATTAAAAACTGTATATTCCTAATTGTATGAGAGACCATCCCTTCAGAGCTTGTTTGGAATTGTCAATGGAGAACGATGTCCCACTTCCACAGTACAAGGGACATCAAGTGGGAAAGGAGGTCAGGACTACATTAATTCCCTCCTTATTGACCATCTATATTATTAGTTCTTATCAAAGAAAACCTTGCTATAACTTTCAGAACATCTGAGCTGTTTCATATTTCTTATGTTTCTGCACTTGGGTGGACTCTGCACAATATAATAGTTTAATGATCCAGCTGTGAGAGCAAAAATAAGGGAGTCAGGACTCCAGGGTGGTACTCCTAGCAACTCACTAACTCACAGTGAGCTCTTGAGGTATAAACCTGTTTGTTCTCATTTGACCATGCATGCAGAGAATAACCATAACAACTAACTGCCCTTGTAGAGATGTGATTAGGCTTAGTTAGATAACGGCTGTTTATCTTCATCTTCATCCTTGTCATGAAGTTCTTCTGTAAGTGTGAAATTATGTTGTTATTTAGTTTATTTTATGACAGCAATCATATTTTTTATAAAGCAATCTGCAATTCTTTCCCAAGCTGGCTGTAATGAAGGCAGAAATAATGGCTTACACACATGCAGTGTTTCATACGAAACATTCTGTTCAAAATGATAATGTTTACCAATGGTTATTCATTTCTGTCAGTTGGTATGTTTTAAATTTTTTAAATTGAATTTTCTTGAAATATCATCTGCTTCATAAACAGTCATACTTGTTTCCTCCAGCACTTTTGAGGCAGATTGCAGAAGTCACTGTAAATAGTTTTGATATGTTCCACAGTTGTTGAAATCCCATTCTTGAAGTCTGATACAGTGCTTTAATTTGGATTGTTATTTTAGACAGAATCTAATCATTACCATGATGAGAAATCCTATGCTGCTTATTAATTGCAAAAAGGAACTGTATTTTGAGGGGTCTGCAGTGTTGTTTTCACCTGCAAGAATATTGCCAAGTCACATTGTACGCTGCTAAAAGGTACATACTGAAGAGAATTATCTTAGGTGGTACTACCGTAATTGA